GACTTTCAAAGGGATTAGGATTGCTAGAGGGGGTCCTATGCTTACTCATTTGCTTTTTGCAGATGATTCATTACTATTCTGCAAAGCAAGTGAGGAGCATGCTTGTGAGATTCTTCTTTTGTTGGATAAGTATAGAGCTTTTACTGGTCATCTTGTGAACTTGCAAAAGTCCTCTTTGTTCTTTAGCAAAAATGTTGTTGTTTCTATTCAAGAGAGAATTGGTGAGATTCTGAGAGGGATTAAAATTCAAAAATCCACTAGGTACCTAGGGTTGCCCCTGGGTATTGGGAAATCAAAGAAAGAAACATTTTCCTTTGTTGTTGAGGCTGTGAAATGCAGGATAAAAAGCTAGAAGAATAAATTCTTATCCACAGCAGGGAAGGATGTTTTAATCAATGCAGTACTCAATGCACTCCCAGTGTTTGTGATGTCCTGTTTCCAAATTCCCCAGAGTACATGCAAAGATATTGCTAAACTATGTGCTGATTTTTGGTGGAGCAAAGGGGAGAAGCAGAAGAGAGGCCTACACTGGAAAGCTTGGAGAGATGTTACATTACCTAAGGAGCTAGAGGACTTGGATTTCAAGATGTCAAATTATTCAACCAAGCCTTGATGCTGAAACATTTATGGAGGATCTTAACAAAACCTGAACTTCTAGTGAGTAAAGTACTAAAACACAGGTATTATCCACACACTGACCTCCTTGATTGTGCTAAAAAACCAATGCTTCCTGGCTGTGGAATTGTCGGCTTAATGTTCTGCCTCTACTGAAAGAGGGGTTAAAAGTGGTTGTTAGAAATGGGGCTGCTACTAAGGTTATGGATCATAACTGGGTGGGTTCTGGGAAAGTTAAGTTGAAGGCTGGGGTTGATGTGAGCTGCATGAAGGTGAAAGAGCCGATAGCTGCAGGAGGAAGACACTGGGATGAGGAAAAACTAAAGCTGTTCTTTGAGGAGGAAGACTGCATCAGAATTCTAAAAATTGAGACTTTGAATCCTGAGTTGGATGACAAAATTCAGTGGGTATTTGATACAAAAGGCATATTTTCTGTTGCCTCATCCTATGCAAAACTGATTCTGGAGA